GAGGGGACCCTCTCTACGGAGGCCTCCATGTTTTCTACATTAGTCCAGACTGAACAAACTAAAACCTTTTGAGTTTTTATGACGACTGAAGCTGCCACAGGTTCTTCTTCATGTTTGGAAGGAGAGGGGGAGGGGAGGGGTGTTCAGCTGCAACATGACACTTCACCACTAGATGTCACTAAACTCTACACACTGCACCTTTATTTGTGTAAAATATAATTCTATATATACTATGATTAAAGTACAAACAGTGTGTTCGACCTTTCAGCCCAGTTGAAAAGCACAGCGTCCCTGCAGAGGAAACTAAACTTCATGAGTTGATGATTTGTTTCGTGCTGAACGTTCATGTAACGACTCAGTTCACTGACAGACTGAAAAACAGGAAGTTCAGTCCTGAACTTTGGCTCCTGCAGCAGGTCGGTCCGGTTAGTCAGCTCACATACTCTGCACCAGGATGTGTTGTTAATGTCATCTGAGCAGGGAAAACTATAAAAAAGTCCCATGATCACGTGGCAATTATCAGACAGATATCTGAGACAGCAGGTCACGCTGTGCATCTGTGCTGAGTCCTGTTGACTCTGTGCTTCTTGTGAACTAGCACAGAGTCAACAGGACGCAGCAGGACGTGTTTGTTCAGTCTGCACATGTTCATGAGGAAGCAGATACAGATAATAATATCATAACTTTATTTGTACAGCACTTATCTAGACAAGGTTACAAAGTGCTTCACACAGAACCACATGGCACAAGAAGAAGAATACAATGCATTCTCTTCAGTTTAACTTTAAGAGCCAACTCATAACATAATAAAACTCAAGACCTTGAGTTTATAGAGAAACCAACAGTTCCATCAACGAGCGGCTCTGACGACGGAGGAGAGGAAAAACTCACCTGGAGGAAACCTCTCGAACCAGACTCAGGGTGGAGTCATCTAGAGTCACGGCAGTTCTGGACGAGTAGTTTTTACAGAGAAACTTATGAATTAGGTCCAAGTTTGTCCTTTTGGGAAATGTCCCCATTTATTGTAAAAAATGTCCCCAGTCTCACAGAACAACCATCTATTTGAAGACTTTAATCAGAATCAGAATACATTTATTGATCCCAGGGGGAAATTGTGTTTGGTACAATTGCTCCATGCAAGAGTGGAAATATAAAGATTTAGAGAAATATAATAAAATAAACATGTATATCTTTATATATATAAAATAAAATACGAAATATCACACAAACATGTTTAGAAAGGATGCAACTTTAATAAGTTACTGCAAAGGTCAAATCAAATGTGACAAAAGACAAAAAGTGGTAAAACTAAAAAAACGACCAGGAGCATGTTTGACTCCATCTAAAGACAAAGAGGAGCTGATCGCAGCTCTGCTCTGTGCGGAGGACGATCGGTCCCACTGGAGCAGCTGATGCAGTATTCAGGGGAAGTGTTCTCACTGCTGCACAGACGTGAGGAAGATCACAGTGGATTCACTGGAACTTACTTCATATGATCAATGAACCTCCAGCGTCCTGTGGTTTTCACACCAGCTGCAGACAGATTCCTCCAAAGTCTCTAAGTTCTAAACATCACCGGCTGCGTCACCTCGTCCCTGTGAAGAGGCGTCTCTCTCCGAGAGCCTGGGGATGCATCCCTCCAGATCGATGAGCTCGGGCCACTGTTCATATGTATTCACTGCAGCGTCGTTCTTCTTCACCTGAAAGGACAGAAACACGGAGCGGACTCAAACCACGACACCAGATATTTCTTCAAACACACGATTGGTCAATTCATTAATAAGCTGATCAACTAAATTCTACACTATAACGCGACTGACTGACACTGAACATGACTCATTCCTGCTCAGTGTGAGACGAGTCTTCAGTCTGCAGCGTTCATTTCGTCTTCTCAAAGCTACGGATACAAACGAAATGGAGCAGTACCACTGGATATTGCTAGGGGGCAGTGTAGTGAGAAATTCAAGTTGCTAAGTTTGACCACTGTTTACAACATGGCCGCTTTCGTTCTTTTCAGTGTCTTTTCAGAAACAGTGTCTCAGCTCAGGGGCTGTGTCCTTCTGACGCTGCCTTCGAAGACAGAAGTCTTATTTTGAAGGCGTCTTCATTTGTGGCCAACAAATTCGTCCGCTGGGAAACGAAGGCCCAACATATCCCAGGATTCATTGCTCTTCGGTGATGAAGTATCATGCCTAGACTAAACAGCTGACAGTAGACAAGTTAAACTTTCTCGTTGTGTCCAACTTCAGCTGCTAGGCAACAGCAGTCAGGACGGAATGAGGTGAAATCAATTAAAATTCATTTGTGTTCACAAATAAACAACGTTGGAGGTGGTCTTTGTGGGTCACGTCCTCGGAAGTGTTCCAACCTGAACTGAGACACAGCTGCTGTCACGACCTCCTCCAGCGTCGCACAATAAACGAGATGTGATTCAGCTGCTGTTACCTTCTCTAACGTGCTCGTCCCCGTCGCTCCTCTCCAACCAACAAACACCCAGTTATCTCTGAAGCCCAGCGACTGGATCAGAGAACTTCCCAGTTGAGAGATCAGCTTCCTCGCTTCGTCGTTTAACCTGTTACACACAAACACGTCAGAACACCAGCACGGCAGCGCTCACGTTTCACCTCCTCTGGACCGACTCCACATTGAGGACGACAAGAAGATTTATTCGTTTTCTGATTTGGTTGATGAGGGTGAGGTCACAGTTCTTTGTGCGTCCTCAGTGGTCGAAGAAGTGAACGAGTGTTTCTACTCCTCAGTTTTTTCTTTAATGAAGATCGTGGTCGTTCAGTTCAAGCTGACTTGTTGAATTCATGTTCTTTCATCAAAACTCTGCCCTTGCACTCAGATATATTGTTGCTCCCATGGATTCCCTGCTCCAGCTTCAGCTCTTCACTCGGGCTGCTGTCTGTGCACTTGGAATGTTCTGTGTTACAACCTGTGAAAAATCCCCGACCAATAGAAACCCAGGTGTCGTGTCGTCCACTGGTCGACCAAAGAACCATGTGATCCCTGCCTGGTTGCGGGTGCGTTCGCTTTACCTTAGAGCGTCCTGTGCGGGCGGTTACTCTTTAACTGGGTTCGTCCCCTCCCGCCCTCCAGGCTCTGTCTTCCTCGTGCTTTCTCTATGACTTCTTGGAATAAAAGGATGGGGGAGACGGAGGAGACGGGGGAGACGGGGGAGACGGAGGAGACGGAGGAGACGGGGGAGACGGAGGAGACGGAGGAGACGGGGGAGACGGAGGAGACGGAGGAGACGGGGGAGACGGAGGAGACGGGGGAGACGGGGGAGACGGGGCCGGGGTCATATCAGGGTTTTGATGAAAGTAACAAGTCATCTGTCAAACTGAAAGACCACGCTCTTGAATAAAGACGGAGAACACCCCCCACACTCAGGCCTGCAGCACCCGGTGGTGGGAGGAGTTACGTTTTCAGGTTCTCAGAATGAACCAGGAGGTCAAAGGTCACAGTGCCCTCACATTATTGTGAATGCAACACGTCAGGAACTGGTGGAGGGACTGAACCTGCTCTGTTTCCTGTTTCCATGACGACAGCAGATTCAGAAGATGAGAATAAAGAAACATTTACTTAGTTGCAGGATCGTCGTAAGAAGCCATCATCACAATGGTGCCCGTCTCGATGCTCTTCAGGAACCCGATGAGCTCCTTCACGTCTGCAACACAAACCCAGAGTCCATGTTTCTACCAGATCAAACGATCCGACCACACGGAACCACGCAGTCGTTAGAATCCACTCGATGACTCATCAGTTTTTACTCACCCCCGTTGTACATGTCAAAGTTACCGGTCTTCACAACTTCTCCTGTTCCATCTGTTCAAGAAGAAGAGTGAAGAACAAACCTGCAGCTTCATCATTCTGAAGAAAGAAGTGATGCACTGGTCCAACACTCACCATTCACTAGAACTATGTTTATTCCAAATCCAGCATTTTTCATCAGCAGCCCGAGAACCCTGAGGAAAGTTTCAAACATCGAATATCAATAACAGCGGACGAGCGCGGCAGCAGGAGACGACCAGAAAGCACCAGAGGGTCGGAACCAGGACATCAGGTTCTCAACAGCTGCTGCAACGTTCACTGAATTAAATATTATCTTAAAAAGAGTTCCAGTAGAAAATACTTCACTTTATTTCTTATCCTGTATAATCATCTATAAAGATGTAGTAATTCATTTGAAGCTACTG